CATACCATGCGGAAATGAAAGTGGCAATGGGCAATCAATACAGGGACATGTCATACACATTAGGAGGCCGATCAAGGAGAAAGAAACCCACAGGAGAAGAACTCAACCAGGAAAAGAATTGGAAACCAAACATGGAGGTGGTTAGAATAGTGATACAATTTGCTATGGCAACAGGGCGATTGAACCATGAGAACTAAGAAAAGGCATGTCACATGCTTAGATAGATGACTCAGCATGATCAGCACAGAGGCTAGTTACATGCAGCCTTAGGCTGCGCACAGCCGGAGGAATAATTCATTCATTCATTCATTCATTGCTTCTGATGAATCGCAATGGAAACGCGTATCGTCTGAACCGCAGCCATACCTAGTGCCAGGTTGCGATGTGATTCGGGTCATCATGCTCGGTCCTCGCAGAATCTTTCAATCTCGACCGCGCTGTAATGCAACGCAATTGAAGTCAGTGCACCTCTCAAAGCCCCGGCTGTCGCGCCATACCAGCACTATTGCCCAAACGGAGCCAGCAGCCAACAAATCGAGGTGGCCGCGGCGACTGGTCTATGCAGGAGTATTTGGTGGATTAGGGGTTGCCGCTGGGAAATGGATGGATGAGAAGGTCTCGGCACCGGCAGTGCCAGGAACAGTGGAAGACGCAGCCAAGCTGGAGGAGATCAATCACGTATTCGAGAACGGGCTGCCTATCGTGCAAGAACTAAGAAACAACCCGGACTACGTGGAATCGAATGCATATGAAGGTTTCTCGGAGGAGGATAAGGCGCACATATTGACATCTGGTCCGCTGCGTGGGAGTCGAGGGTTGGCGCTTCAGGTTCGTGTCTTTACCTCATACATCATCATGGAGGAGATGCAATCAACTCGGGATTGAGACTTTTCTTGGCCTGCATATTGATATCATTACCGAGCTCCCCTCCCTATTGAGGCCGGCATGAAAGCTCGATCAACCTCGGAAGTACTGGACACTCGCTAATTAATTTATTTTTGTACAGAGAGTTTTCTGGAATGACAAGGAGAAGGAAGTCATTAGTGTGGTATACCTCGGATCGGGTCTGGAGGGTTGGCCAACGGTTGTCCATGGTGGCGCTCTCGCTACTGTGCTTGACGAGAATCTGGGACGTGCTGCTATACGCCATTTCCCGGCACGCACCGGCGTGACAGCCAATCTTGAGATCAAATACCGCGCTCCAGTATACTCTGGCAACTTTTACACATTCCACTCGCAGGTAGACCCAGAAAGAAGCACTGAACGCAAGGCGTACGTGACTGGTGAGATCCGCGACCCGGTCGGGCGAGTGTGTGCGCAAGCCTCTGCGCTTTTTGTGGTTCCAAAAGGATTCGAGTTGCGGGAGATTGGAGAACGATTTTGATCCGGTTGATTCGTCGGAGACGAGACTGGGACATGTCATGATGTTGACGAGACCTTCAAGCCCGGGTACAATTGGATGGATACTCAGTCCATGATCGAGATTTCCCTGCTCGATATAATTGAATAATAAGTCTATTGTGGGGCTATCGAAGAAGGATTGCTCGACGTGCCGCCTATCTCTTTTCGCTATGCATAGAATGGCGCTCAAATGGTCCACTAACACGATATCTATTTCAGTATACACATATCGATAAATTCGCGATCGTGAAAGGGGAAGCTGTTCCGGAATATTTCGAATATTTCTCAAATAAAGTTGCATGAGCTCTTGGAACTGGCATTTTGACACAACGGAGACTTTAATGGGGCAGATAGTGGAAAACTGGGGAAAGTCCGGGGTATTGACTTCTGGAGCGGTCCACTTGGCCCGATCAAAAGGGTAAGACAAAGATATGACCGATTTATTTTCGCTGGCTACTGGCAAGCTCGAATCTGGTCATATATCCGTTGTTCTCCTCCCTCCAATCAAGTAGCATAAACTCAAACAACACATGGCCCAGTCAAAGTCAATATGGAGCTTGTTTCGCCCCTATCGCCCGCGCCACGCCTGCAGAGTCCAATCCCCCGCACTCTTCCCGGCCCAAATAAGCCCAGCTGGCCCAGAAAACCCCTCGTCGGCAATGACTGAAGCTCTGGTCGCACCAGAATTCTGGAAAGTGCCTCGGTTCTGTCTCGATATGGAATCACCTCCGTTTGAAACATAGAGATACTCTGGTAGAGGCGGTCGACGAACCTGGCTCGCTAGGTCGTATAGGGGTCAGTTCTCCGCCTGAGATCATGATTCACTCAACGTGACTTCGCTCATGAACCTAAGCATTCTCATCATAGAGGCTACCGAGAGCTTGGCTTATCATTGAACTCTGTTATTTTGATGGGAACATTGACACATATAAGAAGCCCCGACTTGTTGGCTGATCGACGCGATTATTTTCCTGTTTCTTTCTCAATACTATCAGGTCATTGCTTTCTGCGACATTGGACCGATCTATGGTTTATTTTTGTCGTTTCTCTCTTCCAATTGAGTCACTTTGCGACATTCTCTGCAATAATGGAGGTCGCCGACCACTCGAGTCAGTCTCAGGTGGATGAGAAGGGTGCAGGACAGACAAGCATGGGGAGCAACCAGGAGCAGAAGTACAGTCATGAGAAGATTGTTGGACTAGAATCAGGAGGTTCAGATATGGCAGAGGGTCAAGACATTCCTGTGAGTACCGTGCTTTATGCTTTCCTGGTTCGGTACAGCTCATTGAATTGACGACTCGATCCAGTTGACCTTCCGCCGTTTCATGAGCTTCACGGCCATGGCCTTCTTGTGGACTGGCAGCCAGATCCCTGTCTATCTTTTCGGTGAGTTTCTCATACCTTGAATTGATCTTACGCTTGGTATAAGCTGACCATTCCGGTTAGGAGGCATTCCACCCTATATTTATGCAGACATCGGTGGTGCGGACAGGTGGATTTGGTTTGTGGGTGCTACCCTTTGGTCTCTACCTTTTACTCACCACTAATTCATTTTTATCATATAGGTCCTTGCAAATCTGCTAGCTCTAGCAGGTGTATGCCCTTTTGTTGGTTCTTTGTCAGATCTGATCGGCCGTCGTTATGTTGCTATCATTGGCGCCTCTCTTATCTGCGTTGGGATGATCGTTACCAGCACAGCTCACACAATGAACATATTCATCGGTATGTTGAAGTATACTACCTAGCCAGTCAAGGTACACGCTAACGGAGAAATTAGCTGGAATGGCAATTGCCGGTGCTGGTGCTGGCGTCAACGAACTGACGGCACTGGCTGCGACCTCGGAAATGGCGCCAACCAGGCAACGGGGCAAATACGTCGCAATCCTGATCTTTACTATTGTGCCATTCTGCCCGTCCGTTCTATGGGCCCAGCTCATCGCAGCGCATAGCGGCTGGCGTTATGTTGGAGCCTTCTGCGGTGCCTGGGCTGGATTCGGCTTGCTAGCCACCGTCTTCTTCTACTTCCCACCACCAAGAATCAACTCGCAGGGACTCAGCAGGAAAGAGGTGATCAGGAGGATTGATTTTGTTGGCGGACTCCTGAGTATCACTGGTTTAATCCTGTTCTTGGCTGGCATGCAATGGGGAGGTTACCAGGTACGAATCACCCTCTACAGGCACAGACTTTCCACATCGTCCCGACCAGCAGCTAAACCAGTTTTCTCACACACAGTACCCCTGGACATCCGCCCACGTCCTCGCCCCCCTTCTCATCGGATTTGTGATCCTCGTCGCCTTCGCGCTCTGGGAAATCTACGGCGCCAAGTATCCGATCTTCCCGACACGCTTGAAGCAGGAGCCCCGTACCCTCGGCCTGACCCTGGTCATCACATTCATCTCGGGAGCAAACTTCTTCTCAATTATCATGTTCTGGCCTACGCAGTCATTCAATGTGTATGGCCACGACCCTGTCCAAGTTGGACTCCGTAGTCTACCTGTCGGCTTCGCCATCATGGCCGGTGCCTGTATTGTCCTGTGGCTTCTAAGTGTGCTCCGCGGTCACAACAAGGAATTATTAATCGTCAGCAGTGTCCTCATGACAGCAGGTCAGTCATCTCCCCCGTCCCCCAACCGCCCCGCCTGAAGTAGTTACGTGGCTAACGCTTCCTAATCCAGGCTGCGGCGCAATGGCAGTCGCCCGACAAGACAACCTCTACCAGCTCTGGGGGATCCTCGTCCTCGCAGGCCTGGGTATCGGCGGGATCGTCGTCCCCGCTTCCATCATCACCACGATTATCTGCCCAGATGTATGTTCCAAGTAGCCCTTTCTCTTTCCTTATGCAGAAAACTAACACCTCACGCACCAGGATCTCATCGCAACAATCTCGGCACTCACTCTCTCCATCCGCGTCGTCGGCGGCAGCATCGGCTACACAATCTACTACAATATTTTCATTTCCAAGTTCGTCCCCAACGCGAAACACTTCATTGGCGGCGTGATGGTCACGAAGCTCAACATCACCAATCCGGCCTACATCGGCGAAGCCATCGAACTCACCGGCGCTGCGCTGCTGGAAGAATTGAAAACCATTCCTGGAATCGCGGGTAGCGAGACCGCGTACAATGCCGTTGTGACTGCGGGCCAGCTGGCGTTTGCTGAGAGTTACAAGTGGGTGTACTACGTCAGTATTGCTTTTGGTGGTGTTTCTATTCTCGCGGCTTGCTTCTTGGGCAGCATCAGTCAATACATGGATGACCATGTTGCAGTAGTCATGCATTGAGACAGGTGTTCTGCGTCATTGTTATATATGGTCGATATTTTACATGATATGGTAATGAATATGTTTTGAACTCAATGATGATCAAATGAAGGCCATGAATGGACCCTGCATGTCGTGCTCATTTCGTATATCGTGCATAGTAAAGCAGAGAAGAAAGTAGCAAGCAGCCGAATTGGTAATGTCAAGTGTCAAAAGTTCGGAACCCCCACGCCTATAAAATGCATATGAGAATAAAAGGGATATGACCTATACGATATAATTCAGGGGTATTTGTATGAAGCAACAGAAATAATTCACAGAGCTCGTGACCAACCGAAGTCATGTCACCTTTTCCACTTGGTTCATCGACGACTTTTTCGGAATGAACGCGGTGCTGTAGGGTCTTGGTCTTCGCCGATCTTCTTTCACACGAAGACCTCGACTGAGACCTCCTCCGAGCCCACGGGCGAGGGATGCGAATGGTGATTCTTGCCAATGTCCAAGGAGGTCGTCTTCATGCTGGCCCACACTAGAGGACAACTCGCTCGGTCGTGCTGGCAGCTCAGACTGTTTGAGACGGGTGCTTGTTGGTGAAACATCCCTCTCATGCGCTGGAGTTGACGGTTCCAACGGTGTCGGGATATCTGTGCCAATATGCTCAGAGCAATGACACCCGCAGCCGCTGGGACAAAGCTGAAGTTCCTGCTCCTCATTAATCCCGTTCGCTGGGATGTCAGTTTCATCCCGCTGTGCCACAGATAAAGACACCGAGAACCAACTCCTATGGCAGTCAAAGCAGGTAACATGGCCGCACCTTAGGCATGGGACAAGCATTCCTTCAACCACTTCGCCACATATCACACAAGGAAGCTTGAGAAACAATGGTCGAAGGGGTTTGCAATTCTGGCAGGTAACATTTGCAGGACTCATGTTCAGGTGGTTCTTGACGTTTTCCTCAATAGCGTTGGGCGCAAAGATAGACATCTGAAGGGCTTGGCCGCATTTGATGCAGTGCCGCTGAAGGCCAAGTCCCCGATCTTCCCTATCAACGTCTATAAGTCGAGCGTCCTTGTGGCTACGACTCGGAACAATCAATGACACATCCATATTGTTGTGGCTCCTTTTCCGTGAGCGTAGTTCATCAGAGCGACCCCCGGCTGTGCCGATTTTGAGTACTTCGCTGTGCTGCACTGGAAGTCCCCAGATCGAAAGCAAATGAGCGTACGCCGTGCGGTAGGCTTTGTACAGCCCTTCTTTACGCGGGTCAAGCATCGGGGTCTGGTTGCTTCTTCCGCCGTCAAACTCATCTTGATTCTTCAAGACAACCTTGAATTTTGCCTGCGGCTTCGGATTCTCTTGAGGCCTCTCGCTCTCGGTGTCAGAGTGGGGTTGAGATGTAAGCGCAGCCGAGGTCGTGAGAAAGTCGGGAACTGCCGTCGCAGGCTTGCCAGCAAAAGCACTGGTAATCAGACTGCCACTAGGACTTTGCTTTTTCTGGCCTGAGGGAACTGCTGTGGGGGAGGCTGACGAAGGGCCAAAGGTGAAAGACCGCGAGAAGGAAGAGGCCAGGGCGGAACCAAATCCTGACCCGCTTCGCGGCTGGGACTGCTGATCGGGAGAAGCGGCTATCGAAACATTGTGGCTCACAGTCTTCCTTTCTGCATTTAGCGCACCTACGCGAGATGCCAACGGCGGAGTGGTGCCAGTCGAATATGGCGGCGTAGAGTCCGCACGCCAGATCTCGGAAGATGATCGCCCAGAGCTTTGGGTGATCGGTGTTGGATGGCCTTCCTTCGGTGTGGACGCAAGGGGGGTCACGGCCTGCGACTTGTTCTGACTGGCTGCCTGAGTAGGAAAGATATCCAGAGAAAATGATTGCCGCCCCATCCGATTTGATACCGGTTCATTATACTGGGTTGCTTCGTTTGAGATCTCTTCGCTTTTTGGCTGTTGAAGCACGCAGGAGAGCATTGCGATCATCTGCACATCACCAATCCTTTCGAAATGATCAAGCAGAGACGGTATTAGCCAACGGCCACCATAGGGGTGATCTCCCCATTGAGTGGCGCTGTTTGCTAACTCCTTACGGCTCTGCTCCTGATTACTCAGATCGAAGCTCAAATCCACTGCACTGTCCTTCCGCTGTATACGCGAGGGTCTTTCGGTCATGCTCTGATTATGCAAAATCAGCTTGACCAGTCCCCAGATCCGAGCTAGTTCATGATAGCCCAGATCTAGGGCTGCCGAAGCATTGTGAGCACATACATCAGTAACCTTGCCACAGATGCGATATCTTCGGGCCAATTCACGCTTTGCTGGTAACAGATCGCTGAAATCATGTATAGATATTATATTTTGCGCAGACTCGGACGACTTCGCAGTCATCGCCCCAGCAGTTGATCGCTGCGAGTGGTCGGTGGACCTGGGCCGATAAATACCCAAACTTCCGGCGCTGCGCCATGTTTGAGATGTCGGGAATCGCGCTTGCAAGCCTGACAACATGTCTGACGAACCTGACGAACTTGAAGTCTCAGCATCCGAATCATCGGAATATTCCGAGGTACCATCATCCGTGCTCGCCAGTGTGCCACTGATTTTCGGTCCGGGGGAGCTTGTTTGGATACGACCGAATCCTTCAAAGACTTTATCTGCTCTTGATAGTCTCGACATCTCTTTGAGTCCCAAATTCTCGATCAAGCTTGATGACTTGTCTTTCTTGTTAGGAAAGAAACACACTAGTCGGCCATCATTGGTCCAGAGCGCACCGCATGCCTTGGCCACGGGAACCATTACATTAGCATTATTAACCGGACGAAGTAGCTCAGAACTCAGGCCCAGTTCTTGACTCTGGGACATTCCCACTTCATCTTCATCGCTGGATTCGTCGTCTCCAAGGTCGCCATTTATAGGAGACTTGATTGTCTCGGCTGTCTCGCCCAGTACGTGAGCTATGCTCTCCTCTAGGTTGCTTTCCCCTAAAAGGTAACGGACAACGCCTTCGAGACAGCCTCTCTTATGAGACAAATAGGTTTCTGCGATCGTTCTCAGCTCGCTTATCAGCTTATCAGCAAGCTGGTCGGTGACAGCGGCAGTCCGCTGCACACTGAAAGTCGGCATTGAAGTCTTGGGATAGTCAACTGGGAATTTGATGTCCACTTTGAGAAACAGAGAATCACCCTCTGCACCCCATGGCCCATGCAGGGATATTGTTGCTTTTCGTTGCCTAACATCCACAGATTCGAAAGCAACCTTGGTGAACTTCTCTCCAACATGTGTTATCTCGTCTCCCAGGGTTTCAATATCCCATCCCGAGATCTTCACACCACGCATCCAGGATATGGGGTTTGTATCAGCGCGGAAGTTCGACCTTCTTTGCATACCGACTCTAGAGTCTGCGTTGCCTCCTTGAGTCCATGGGCGAGAGTAAGGAACAGATATTGTATTAATACCGATACCACCAGCAAGCTTAGGGTTGGGTGATAGAATAGAATCGGGTTCACCATATCCATCCTCGCCCGTTGCATCGCGGAAAGTCTTGTAGACAGCGCCTTGCCGTGTGACGTTCAACGTGGAAACGAAAGACTTCCCTCTCTCGTAGCCGACACGTTGGAGAATATCCGGATCCACTCGATGTAGACGAAGCTCCCTATCGGTGCCCCACGACACAAGCTGAAACTCCCTGTAATCGATTCCATCCGTCACACCTCCACGTGCTCTCCAAAGGAATTCCTTCACTTGGCCTTTATGTCCCGGAAAACTGTGCACCAGTGGAAGGTTCTCTGTGAGGTTGGTACCGTCACCTGACCTGCGACTATATAGATGAAGGTCGCTGTTGCCTCTCTGTGGCATTGCCAAAACTCCCCATCCGAATGGGGTATTGCGTGCCCGCCATACTGGGAATGGAGTGGTTATGACCTTCTCGGGTACTTCATCGTCTACCGTGTAGTCCCAAAACTTAATTGTCTTATCCAATGAACATGTTACCAAAGCTCCCGGCCTGACTCTGTTCCAGTCTACCCCGTAAATCTTAGTATCATGGGCCTCAATGGATTTGATCGGGTAGGCTCCCATTCTCGTATCCCATATTCGGAGAAATTTGTCATGAGAACTGGCGATGACATTTGGGTCCTGTCTGTTCCATTTGACTTGCGTTGCACCAGCGAACCAGTCGGAGAATGAGATGGCAGGCTTGGAAGGGGTTCGCAGATCCCAGCAATGAACAAAACTGTCCACAGCACATGTTGCCAAAAGGTCGGGATGGTGAGCGGAGAAATTGATATCCGTGATAGCTCGCGTATGAGCATGCAGGACATGTTCGATAGAATTCTCCCCCGTCTGCATTGCCAGATTCCATACCAAGGCCTTCTGGTTGGAAGTGCTCACTACCCAATAGTCCCGCGCAGCGAAAGGAGACCACTGGACGTCTGCGACTTCCCATGGCGTGTGATGAGGAAGATACCGAGGAGGAGAATACGGGGAATCCAAGTCAATGACATGCAGGCCTTCCTTCGAAGCCAACACAACATCTCTTCCACATGGAGATATGGACATGGAACCGACGGGCTGCTCCACATGGAACGAACTGTCTTCCCCAAAAGTGGGACTTTCGAAGGCCGAAGCCAAGGGCCTGGGCTCCATTATGTCGACTATTGCTGCAACCAGAGGGATTGGTCGTTCCAAAGCGCTTCCTAAACCGTGCAGTCTCGCATCCACCTCGGACGTGAGCTAGAAGTAGAAATTAAAAGCTCGCACGAGGACAGGATGAGCGGTAGGGAGATCTGAGGTGCTCTCATTTCGGAAGAACTTGGCAATTGGCCACCAACTGATTATGCGAGAGACGGCCGTGTGAGACCATTTATTGCGCGCATTATCCGAGGCCCACTTGCTCGAAAGCTTGAATGATTTCACGGTGTTTAGAAACCTGGTTGGTGTTCGCAACTGCCTCAGCTGCTGGGCTGTGGTCAATTCACCGTGAGCATGTGTCTGCACTTTATAATAAGAGTATCTCTCGTACCTTAAAAAATAAGAGTTTATGTGAGTGGAAGGCAGTCGCCTGCGCATGGCAGTATTACTACCTAGTCTGTAGCTCTGTGCAGGATGCAGAGTGCAGGGCCCAACTCCTTCCTCATCTCCGCCATTAACTGTACGTTATAGGTAATGACTAAGCAAAGAACTGCGCAGGTTGTCTTTATGGGCTACCGTGGCCTATCAACAGGGAGACGTCTAATAGAGAAGGCGGTCACACCTCGGCAGGTAAATGCCCCTCTGACGGTTACGTCGGTTTCTAATTTCTTCTACTGGAGGATACTCCGACACAAGTATCTGATCCTTGGTGTTTTGGTCACTTCATCACTGGCTCTTTGCACATTTCTTGGGTCTTATCCCAAATTTCTCTCTTTATCAGCCCGGTAGAGAAATAAAACTGAAGTCCAGTAGACCTGTCAACCTTGGATATCAGAAAGAGCGGAAACTCGGATCGCGATAAGCTTTTCCTTTTTGGCGGTTCATCATGGCCCTGCCAAAGCGAATTGTAAAGGAGACCGAGCGCCTTATGGCAGAGCCGTGAGTTAGAAATTATCTCCGGAGGATAAGCCGTCGTTGACTGACGCCTTTTCTCCTTAAGGGTCCCCGGCATCAACGCTGTGCCTCATGAAGACAACCTTCGATACTTCGACGTGTCGATCCATGGACCTGCTCAGTCGCCGTATGAAGGTTTGATGCCGTTAGAAATCATCGTGGAGAAAATAGCGGGTTTCTAATAGGATAAACAGGAGGCATTTTTCGTCTCGAGCTCTTTCTGCCAGAGGATTATCCTATGACCCCGCCAAAGATCCGTTTCTTGACCAAGATCTACCATCCCAACATTGACCGCCTTGGACGCATTTGCTTGGATGTTTTGAAAAGTACGTCGTTCTGTTTCTTTTGGGATAGCGCACCGGCTAATAGTATATCAGACAACTGGTCCCCTGCTCTACAAATCCGCACAATTCTCCTCTCAATCCAGGCCTTGCTTGGAGCCCCTAACCCTGATGACCCGCTCGCCAATGACGTTGCCCAGCGTTGGAAGGAAGATGAGCAAGCTGCGATACAAACTGCAAAGGAATGGACGAGAACTCATGCAATGACTTAGATTCTGGGATACCCCAGTCAATTTGCTATGACGAATATGAGAGCGAGACTGCTGTTATGTGACCATGAAGAAAATATCACGCAAGCCCAAGCCCTGGTGGCTCTCATGTGGTTCCAACCATGCCGTATAACATACCGCTATGCCTTTCATGTGGGACGAGTCTCCTTGATGTCCTCTCCCTTTGTTGTTTCTCCTCCTTCTCTTTCTGGAAAGCATCGCGTTTTTGTGGCTATGACTCGTGGAATTTCCGGCTTCAAGCCGCTGACTTACACATTGGCATGTCTGTCATCTCACAATTACACCATGCTGCCTAGACCTTACTATATAGAACTGTCAGCCCCCCAAATGATCACTTAGCGAATATCGAGTCCAACCAGTGCTTTGTGTCTCCTCTCTCGCCTATTTACCACATTTTACTTCTGTCCCGGGAGTTGGATACCACACGTATTTGAGCGAATTGTCCAGCGAGTCGCCAGTTAGTTGAGAAGGTAGCAACGTCCTAATTGTTCGCAATAAGATGGGGTGACTTTGATCCTCCCTCTTGGTGCTGAAGGAGTGAGATTACACTACAAAGCAGCATAATCATCAAAAATCATGGATATGGCATAGGTGCACAAAGGCTGAGAGACCAACACCAGATAATGAAAAGTAGTTTGATATTCAAGACTTGAAAGCTGCTCCGGATGAAGACCTTGTGAATAAAGTCCTGTGAGAGTCTGTCACTGCTGACTACCCTGTAGGTAGTGTAGAACATTCACTTCCCTCTGTTGGCCGGATAGAAAATAACTTATATCCGAACGGCTGTTGCTAAATAGTATAGCCTCAGATTGCTTCACAAGCCTTTGTAGTCTACTGTGTTTAGCAAATTCTCCATGAAGACCTTGATAACGTGAGTTTCTGAATAGCATCCATACGGATTGTGGTGAGAATCAGCAGCTCGATACTCAGATCTATCTTTGTTAGAGGACTATCTTTCATTGATACTGAGGCTGAGCATTTGACCATGAGTCCGGAACCTCACGCTGATGACCGCAAAGCTCTCAAGCAGTGTTCAAAAAAGATGAACGCCGAGAGACTAAGATACCTACGAACACAAAGTGAATATTTCCCTCTCACTGACAGTCTCATCGTCCCCAAGAGTCGTGTTGCTCGCGCTTTGGATACTTGTGTCAGGTATTTGCAGACAACACGCCGTGTCGTATCTCCTCCTGCTAATCAATTCCGCTGTTAGCAATCTCAAGAATACAGGGAAGCAACTCAAACTCAGAAGGTCTCGCTCCTTCGAGACTGAGAGCAGAATCCCGTCTCGCGACGTTACGCATCCCGCATCTGATCTACTCGCAGTGCCAAACCTGAAGGATCTGCCTGAGAAGGTGAGAAAGCGTGTGGAAAGTTCATCGCAGTTGATAAACAAGGCAAGTATCTCACTGTCTCTGCTCGATTGCCCAAGGAACTGCAAGTCAGCAAAACTGATAGTCAAACAGAAGGATCTTGATAGAGCATCCCCAAAGGAAAGTTCTTTCAGAAGAAAGTTCAGCAGAACGATGACTGGTGACTCTGTCAAGAAAGCCAGCAGCATGGACAGAAAGAGCTGGCAAACCCAGTCCTCCTCCGCAGGCAGTGGAGGAAAGACTCGCTCTGTCCGCTCTGCCTCGGTCACGGCGACTGATAAAGATCCGGCTGGAGGAGATACCGCAGCACCTATTGAAGGAGACCTTGCGAAGCTCAAGATTTCTGAGGGCCTGAAGAGAGAGGGAAAGCCTGCTGCTATCAATACCGCGCAGCCAAAGGTCGTCAAGTGCCTCAGATCGCCTGGTGGTAAGAGTTATTGAATTTCTCAGTCTAGATTTTCGATGAGCATGATGCTGATTCAGACATGAACAGATTATGTGTTCCTTGATCTGGAGACCCCCGGAGAGAAGAGCAACGCGAACAGCGACTCCAGCCCAGGTCTTTCCCCCAAGGCCAAAGCTACCGAAGGCGAATCTGGTGAGGACCAATCTGGCGACGAATCTGGTGAGCACAAGGCTGTCCGAGGACTACCCTGGATTTTGCTGACCAGTTAAGGCGAAGCTGCGAAGGACCAGGACCCGAGAAGCATTCTCGAAAAAAGAGTAAGTACTGTGGTTATCCTCTCAATTGGTTCACGATACTTCGAGATAGCTAACGCAGTGACAGCTCGATGCAATCCGCCACATCGTGAAGAACATATTCCAGGGACAGTCGGACGAGGATACCAAGTCTGGAAAGGCTCCGCAGGATGCCAAAGGATGGGACACAAAGAACATGAAGTGCATCAAGTGCTTCGGAGACTGCCCAGTCTGCGGCAAAGCATGCTGCATCTTCGACATTGCTCGCCGCACCGCTGCCGAGGCAAATTCCACCCCTGAACATGCCGAAGCCGCAAAGCAGATTCTTAAGCTCATCCAGAGTCTGGGCAACAGCGTCTTGGAGGCGAGCACCTACTCCCTGTGCACCACGCCCGGAGGCTGCGGACGGTATGTCTGCTTCGACTGCTGGGGTATATGTCCGGTCGAGCTATGCCGCGACGTCCAGTGCAAGGTAAGCAATGACATATTCCTTTTCTCTCCTTGTCAATTGCACAATGAATGAATGCTAACAGGCCCTTCTCTGCGTAGGACTGCAAGGAAGATCCCTGGGCTGCGTGCGACTGGCACGATTACTGATGTTCTCATTGAGACTACTCGGTGCAAAGCCACTCTGATAATGCAGATTCAATTGCAAGGGAAAGTTGGTCTCCAGCTTATCATGCCACTCGAGCATCGATTGAGATGAGCTCCTTTGAGACATCTTTGGCATGAGAGCATCATATTTGGGAACGATGGGAAAAGCCAAAAAAAGTGGAAAAAGGGAAAAAAGCAAAAAAAAACGATTATGAACTACATTACGATCACAGAGAAAGAGCCAACAGATAACAATTCCCTTGCAATGGTTCCCTTCTTTGATGTTATCGTAGTCGCAGTACTCCGTAGAAGACTCGAAGTTGTAAGGCGGCCACCCAAGGGCAGACGAGGTCACGTGTCCCACTTTAGCGAGGCTCCGCACCGCACCACAATTGTGTCAGTCTCACGAACAGCTCGCCGCAGCGACCGATTCGACTTTACCACCCAACGCCAACCAACAAAACCTCGTCTCGACCGGCTGCGCATCTCCAACATTCAAGATGCGTACCTACGACGATTCTTTCAGCGGTCAGAAGATCTACCCTGGAAAGGTGCGTTTTGTCCCTTCCGGAGTCATCAATCATCCAGCAATTCCCGCCCCGATTCTCTACGAGCGCAACGCCGATTCATGAAAATGTCCCACAAAACTTCTTCTCTGGATATGGGTTAACATAGTGTTGGATTTTCAAATTATAGGGTAAGCTGTACGTCCGTGGCGACAGCAAGATCTTCCGCTTCCAGAATGGAAAGTCCGAATCCCTGTTCCTCCAGCGCAAGAACCCTCGCCGGATAGCCTGGACTGTCCTCTACCGCCGTCAGCACAAGAAGGGTATCTCTGAAGTCAGTACTACCGATTTTCTTTGAATGATTTGTCGTGGAAGATCTCGTGATTGGTTCGAAGCAGGAGAGTGGGCAAGGGAGCTTTTATACGTTTGGGAGGCATGGAAGTGCCGTTGAATGGGTGGACACATGGGGCTTGGAACAATCACGAGTGACGCGATATGAGATATGGAAGAGCATTTGCTGACGGGGTGTGTTTCACCATGAACAGGAAGTTGCCAAGAAGCGCACCCGCCGTGTCGTCAAGCACCAGCGTGCCATCGTCGGTGCCTCCCTTGATGTGATCAAGGAGCGCCGCAGCATGCGCCCTGAGGCTCGTGCCGCCGCCCGCCAGCAGGCTATCAAGGAGGCCAAGGAGAAGAAGGCCGCTTCCGAGAGCCGCAAGAAGGCTGAGAAGGCCAAGAGCGCCGCCACCGCCGCCAAGGGCACTGCTCAGCGCATCCAGAGCAAGCAGGGTGCTAAGGGTTCTGCTCCCAAGGTCGCCGCCAAGTCTCGTTAAACGGATTGAAGGCGGTTCGGCTTGGGCTGGGGAGTAGATAGGAGGATCCTTGTGGTTGGACTTTGGGAGGTTTCCGGAGCTGGAATTTTGTTTCCCTCGCCAAATCCTAACAACAACAAATCGGCGTGCGAGCGATGGGCTCTTGCGGATGAGACAACCCGCATGGTGTTCAGATAGGCTTTGTCATTTTCGCGCCATGGTAACTACCAGGAATGGAAAAATGGATGTTATAATGAAGCCCTTGTTCTTTTTTTCGGACAGACCTTCCTCTCCTGCTTGTAGATTCTGGATCCTTCTCCTGCATACACAATCCATCTTGCGAGTTAATACAAGCCTAGAACACTTTGCTCTGCACCAGACTATTTCAAATGGCTCTATCAACGATACGTGGTAGAGAGGTAGATGTACTAGGTATTTCACAACCACGGATGAGAGTGACGATATCAGAGCTCTTAAATCGTACTTGGTCCTGTACTGTCCAGATCTCTGTGGAATCAACAACAATGATCGGCTCAGGAACAGCGCACTTCAGTTGTATCATAGGTCTGAGTCCCTATGCTGTACTCCGTAGTGCGGATTGCTTATCTTGCTTGCAGCGGATAGTGTAATTACAATACAGTATCTAAAGGACCTGCTAGCTGATTATGGAGTAGTAGGGCTCAAACCTAAACCATTCCTTTTTAGGCAATGATATTGGCTGAATACTCGCCCCTTATTTGCGTACAGCATCAACAAGCATAGGAAAGACGAAGCTGACATGGACCTAGCAGTCCATGAATATTCAATAATGTATCGTTTAACCTTCAAAGGCAGAGCTAGTCGCGCGCCAACATGAAATCTCTATAAAGATCTGTAGGAAACTTGCGCTGCCTAAGGCAGAAAATAAAGGAGGTGACTAATCTAGAGTCGCCATCTCGCTTACGGAACAGCCTAGCGCGCTTTGCCCACAAGAGTCGATCGAATCCCACCCGCTCCAGAGAAGCCCCGAAAGAGTTCAACCTCAGTCAACTTACCATCTCGATCCGACAAGCTACACATCACCAGCAGCCATGGGTAAGGTTCACGGCTCTCTCGCCCGTGCGGGTAAGGTCAAGTCTGCGACTCCTAAGGTGAGTTCTTCTTGTTCTTCCTTAAATGAAGTTTTGATCTCCGCGGTCCTGCTGGGAAGGGTTCATCGTCGCCACCGGAAGAGGAGGGATTTTGAGGGAGGTTTTTGCAGCGGTTCGACATGCAGAAATGGCAGAGAGGATATATGCGAAGACGATTTGATGAACCGATGGCTTTCCAGGGAGATATTTGCTGAGTCAGAGTGCTGATGGGTTATGTTCTACTTTACAGGTCGAGAAGCAAGAGAAGAAGAAGGAGCCCAAGGGCCGTGCTCTGAAGCGCGTCAAGTACACCCGCCGTTTCGTCAACGTTACCATGACCGGTGGCAAGCGGAAGGTACGTTGATATCCAGCTCGATGGAAAGGATGCATATATGCTCTTGGCGGGGAAGTTGGTGGTTTTTTTTTTCGAGAGAGAACCCCCTTTCTCCGTCTGGCCGGCAGATTTTGCAGGAGGTCCATGGCATCGAAAAGGCATCAGACACTGACAAGGACATTCGTTACAGATGAACCCCAACCCCACTTCCTAAGTTGACCGCGTCTTTTCCGGCGGAGGAAATTAGGTGATGAGAAGGGGGATCCGACGACGATCATCGAACATAAAATCACCATCATCATCTAGTCGGCGGTTATACTGGACAAGTGACATTCTGGCCTACCTTCAGTATGGTACTTATACGGGAACAACCAACGGACGACGATCTGACTCTAGTGGAAGGAAACTGGGTTCATGAATAGAATATGGGCTTGCAACAATCATCATATGGGGTTAAAGCATTGTTTGGGAAATCAAAAAAACTTCATCATTCTTGCAAACATGTTTTTCTTGTCAAGCATCAACCCCATCAAATGCTCAAACAACGGATGATGGTGCACAGCTTCTGGCTGCAGTGGCTTTTGCGCCTTGTGTTTCGTGGCGGATTTGAATATCTGCATTCCGTCAATTGATTCGTCGCGGTCTTTCTCGATCAATCTACCTCTTTTCACTGCGTCGGATTCGCTCCTTTCCGCTTTCATGATTATGCTTGCTGTACTACTTCTACGATCGTAAATTGATGCGCTATGTTTTTTTCGAAGTCGTCCTGAGCCAGACTCAACGGTCATGACATAGTCGTAGTGCCAGGCTTGTTGCATCTAACAAAGTAGTATCAATAGGTGTGCTTCTCACAACGGCGCCAGTATTATACCAGTGGTTTGTTTAGCATACTTGAACGAAGCTCTATCAGGGGTTCAACTCTAACAAATGATGTACCTGAATGACAGAAAAACGTAGGGCTCAGGACCCGAGTGCCTCTCAACGATTCGTCATGGAGACGGTAGCATGACTTCGTCCTCAGCAGCGTCAAGCACTCGCTTCTACCTCGACCGGTTTCAAAGCATCAGTCTTCAGTCTCGCCGGTGCACGATACAATCAGTCCGTTGAGAGCGCCATTCATCATTGACGCTGAAACAACGACGAAGTATGCCACCGTGAGATCCTTGATGTCAGTCCACCCTCAAATAAAACAGATCAACGCCGAAATACCCCGAACCCAACGGATCTAATAACACTGTCCAGCTGAATCTCGAAACTCAACTCAACTCAGTAGTAGTGCGCCATCTCCAACCCAGCACGCTTAAACCCACACTTGACATAGAATCCCTCATTCGCCTCGGAGCAATCAAGAATAGTCTGTCGGTCCAGAGTCAGCTCCAATCCTCCCCATCCCGACGGGCCCCAAGAAGACAGAAGATAGAACATACCTTGTAACAACCCACCTTCTCAGCAACATAATCCAACGCCTGGATAATCCTCAACCCCAGCTTCTTCCCCTGCTGCCCCTGCTCAACAGCAATATCCTCAATATGCCCCACCATACCAAGCGAATGGATAAACTTCCGCTCGACGATCAGACTCCCCGTGCCAACGATGCGGTCCTCCCCGTCGCACACGACGAGGAGGTAGTACTCGTCGCTCCGGGCGCGGATCCACTCGTACCGACTGTTCCACTGCTCCTCGGTGATGTCGCCGACTGTCGTCAGCACGCGGAGGACGTCCAGGTAGCCTCTCTTGTAATCGGAGCGACACACCGGGCGGATGGTGTAGTCTGCGGGAAGGATGGCGAGGACATCGGGTGAGACGAGCGAGGGGGAGAAGAGGGGGGTGTTCTCGTCTGCGGTGGGGGTGTCGACGGATTTGGTGACCGGGGCTGTGGTCGTCGTTGGAGTAATGGTGGTGTTGGTCATTTTTGTATTGATTTGGTCGGAGATGGTGCACTTGAGTATAGATGAGAAGAAGAAGGTCAGGCGGGTTGCTTTGGTGGTGGGTTTGTTGTGGTTTGTCAAAGTTCGGCGGGGGTGTTGATTACAGAACTATGGGGGGTTGATTCGCACTCGGGAGTAAGGTACCAAGGAGTTAATGGGTGAGCGAGTGTGTATGGAACTTTTCAGAGACGGCAATTGCGACGATAACTCAGGAATTGAAACGAATGGAAGTAATGGTGTAGACAAGTCGTCAGTTCCTCAGAGCGGAAGAGCATAAATAAAGGGCGGTCCGTGGTTGAGGCTTGGAGCATCTGAGACAATTCTGCTACTATAAATACTCCTGACGGACGGCGAATCTTCTTCAGCTCTAGACTAGACTACATGTGCCTATCCACTGCGATATCTGAAGGCTCAAGTCCTTTTTCCCCTTTTAAGACTAAAACAAGAGCACTGAAATTGTCTGAACCTTTTTGTTGATATTCAGCTTTTCAAGGATGTCCTCATCGTTCTATGCATAGGCACCCAAAACGCGCCACAAGACCTCGCCAGAAATTACTCATTCTAGCAGTAAAGAGACCGAATTGTTAGTAAGTTTACGAGGGAGGTGAATCAATTGGAATAAATAGTAGAATGGATTTCCAGTAGTACAAATATAATGAACCGCTACATTACAGCACTCTAACCAATACCTTAAATGATAGCTCCGGCCATCCTCAACGAACAGCTTTTTATACCTCTATTTCTTCTCCTTGGGGCTCAGCATCAGCTCGGGGCGAACATGCTTATCAAACTCCTCCTCGCTCAGAGCCTTGAGCTCCATTGCACTCTCCTTAAGGGTGATGCCCTTCTTGTGAGCGTTCTTGGCGACCTTGGAGGCCATGTCGTAACCGATGACGGGGTTCAGGCAGGTAACAAGCATCAAACTAGGACAGGTTAGCGCTTCAGATATAATGATTTGCGAAAAATTGTAGACATACCTCTCGTGGAGGAGAGTGTTGATTCTGGGCTCGTTAGCCTCGAGGCCCTCAACGAGGTGCTTCTCGAAACTCTTCATGCCATCGGAGAGAATGCGCACGCTGTGCAGCAGGTTGCGGATTATCAGAGGCTTGAAGACGTTGAGTTCGAACTGGCCGTTCATGCCACCAACGGTAGCGGCAACGTGGTTGCCCATGACCTGGGAGCAGACCATGGTAAGGGACTCGCACTGTGTGGGGTTGACCTTCCCAGGCATGATCGAGGAACCGGGCTCGTTCTCAGGCAGAATCAGCTCGCCGAGGCCGCAGCGAGGTCCAGATMCGAGGTAACGGATATCCTGGGCGATCTTGAAGAGGGAGCAAGCCAAGGTGTTCAGGGAGCCGGAGGCCTCAACGATGGAGTCGTGAGCGGCAAGAACCTCGAACTTGTTGGGGGCGGTCTTGAACTCGGTGCCGGTCAGCTTGGTAACCTCCTCAGCAATACCCTCAGCGAAACCCTTGAAGGTGTTCAGACCAGTTCCGACAGCGGTACCACCCTGGGCAAGGTAGCGGAGGTGGGGGAGGGAAGCCTCAACGCGCTCAATGTTGCGGTCCAGCTGAGCGACATAGCCAGAGAACTCCTGGCCGAGAGTCAGGGGGGTTGCATCCTGCAGATGAGTACGACCGATCTTGATGATCTTGTCGAACTTCTCGACCTTCTTCTGGAGAGCGTTGCGAAGGCTGCGCAGGGATGGCAGCAGAGTGTTCTCGAGCTCGAGGACGGCAGCGATATGCATGGCAGTGGGGAAAGAGTCGTTGGAAGAGGCGGACATGTTGACGTGGTCGTTGGGGTGGACAGGCTTCTTGGTGCCCATGGTACCGCCAATGATCTCAATGGCACGGTTCGAGATGACCTCGTTGGCGTTCATGTTGGACTGGGTGCCTGAACCGGTTTGCCAGACAACCAGAGGGAAATGGTCCATCAGCTTGCCTTCGGCGACCTCAGCAGCAGCCTGCTTGATGGCCTCACCGATCTTGGGGTCTAGAACACGCATGAGCATTTTCTCCACCAAATGTCTTTCGCCGAAGAGAAGAGAGCTTACCTAGACCATAGCGCATGTTGACCTCAGCAGCAGCACCCTTCAGGATACCGAAGGCCTTGACCACGGGCGCCGGCATGCGGTCCTGGGGCTGGTTGATGTCGAAGTTGGTCAGGGAGCTATCCTCATCTCAATCAGCAATTTGTGATAACCCTTCGCCAGACACTGCTGGTGTTTGGAATGCCGTTGTTCTCGGACGCTTACCGCTGGGTCTGGGCTCCCCAGTACTTGTCCGCAGGGACCTAGAAGACAGCCGCGTTAGAACCTGGAACAGAGGAAAGGATCTGTCTGCCACCCACCTGAATTTCACCAAAGGCATCGGATTCGGTTCGCGTAGCAGAAGCCTAGAGGACGAAAGATCAGCACCACGATTCACCAATAATCCACTGACTGCGATCGCAAACTCCTGCGGGCGCAGGAATAACGACAATTCGTAAGGCCAGCTTCTCATCCATCAGGAAAAGACCACAAACTCACCATCCTGACGGTTGTGCCAAAAGCTCTCTTGTTGGGGATGGATTGAATGGACTGGAGGCGGGGGAATTGAAGGAGAGAACGGGTACTGAACGAAGCGGGGGAGGAGCGGGCAGCGAAAGCCAAAGCATTGCGGGCAGCTGCGGGGGCCTTTAATGAGGTGGTACGAGACGCTGCATGTGCCAATGAGGCCATCGAGCGCATCGCGGCTCGGGAGGAGTTGGAGGATGAAGTCAGCATATTGGCTGATGCCGAAAATGTTGATTTTCTTCAATTGGGTTGCTGTGAGGCTAAGAGGAGGGAAAAAAACGGAAACAAAAAAAGCGAAAGGAAGAAGAAAACAAGTAAAATGAGACAAATAAAACAGAGCTTCTGCCAGTTTCCGTCCGGCCGCCGTTTTTTGCGCTTTTGTTTCTTCAAGAGAGGCATCTCAACAATTTCCGAGCTTCTCTGCCGAAAACACCCGGTCCGGTATTCCAGAAACACAATACAACGGGGCATTCTTCCCGAAATTTGACACATTCGCCGGTCATAGTGGTAGTGTATTGTAAAGATCGTCGTCGGATAAACCATGATCCTTCTTCATCAACATTCTGGGGAAATGAACAACACCGGCGTCATAAAGAAACAATCTTCTTATCTTGAAGATGAATATCCTCCGACTACACCAAAAGCTCCCTCCGCAGCGTGGCTATCACCTTCTCGTTATACACCCTCCCCGACTCCAAAATTCCATCCAATAGTGGAAAGATATGAGGTGCTCCGACAGCACGGATCAGTTCCACACGGACTCCGGCATCCTTCAATTTGGCAGCATAAGCCTCGCCTTCATCCCGAAGAGGGTCCATCTCTGCTGTATACACCAAAGCAGGTGCTAAATCCTTAAAATTAGGAGCCAGCATAGGAGAGATCTTCCAGTCCTAAGTCCTAGGTCAGCATCCAAAAACAGACATCGTATCCGAGCGAATACATACCTCCTCGGATCTGGGAGGTCGAGGGTTGCCAAGAAAATGCCTATGAAAGTATGCCATTCGTGCTGCTGGAAGCGCCGGCGTAAACTCCATTTCCCGGTATGACTCGTATGGGCAATTCTCGCGGTCAAATTGTCCGTCTGTCGTGAAGACACTGTGCAAGTCACAGGCTGGCACAGTCAATAGTTGCAAGCGCAATGGGATGTTGGCGTCCCGGCAGAGATGCGCAAGAACGGCCGACAGGTGCCCTCCTGCAGAGACACCACCAACTGCCATTCGATCCGGATCGATATTGAATTCGTGTGCTTTCTGCAATCTAATCTGAGACGACTGTCAGGCCTATGGTCTCAAACTTGAATATTGTGCAGTGAAGGAATTGGTGACAAAATAACTAACCCAGTTGAATGCCGCCCAGCAATCCTCGATAGGAATTGGGTACTTGTGCTCAGGTGCCAGTCGGTAATCGACGTCAAAAGCCACCAAGTGTCCATCGAGGCCATGTACGAGGCGTTTGCAGAAATCATGATCGACGGAGAGGTCACCAAACACCCAGCCGCCTCCATGGAAGTTGACATATGCTGCTCTTTTCTTTAGATTGCCCTGCTCATCAGACGAGGGAGCAGGTTCAAAGATTCGGACAGTGATCTCTCCTTCCTTGACGGGGCATTTCTGCTCAGTGATGCGGAACACATCTGGTCCGGCTGCGCGACCATAGGCGATGGTGTACTTGGCGGGATTTTTTCGAAAGTCTTCGATGGGTACCTCGTGAGTGTGTAGCCGTCCAGCATTATATTTGTTATAGTGTTCCGCGTAGACAGGGTCGAAACGAGGGAGTAGTTCGGGAGGGATAGCATTGTGAAGAGGCTGATGAATGGTCCGCGGTCGAAGAGCATGCAGCTCCTTGTCTCCGGCTGATGGCGAGTCTGTCATTGTAGAAGAGCAGTGTTGATGTTTATACTTTTGCTTTAATTGTGGTGATAAATATAGATGTGCTATGGAACAACCCAGGACGTCAGGTAGAGGAGTATAAAAGGACAGGGAAGGGAAGGCTTCTCCAAACCCCCTCACGACCCCTCTTTTGTACAGTCAGCTTATCATTTCATTTCATTCTCTCGGCACTTTGTATCTATCTATCTGTCTATGTCTTGACGGCAATCATCCATCAATCGCCAAAACTGAAGCTGAAGGTCTGAAGATGTCTGATTGTCGTGTCCATTGTCACAGATACAGTGAGTTCTTACTGGCGATGCACTCAAGCTACCTACACGACCTCGGACCATTTGTCTACCACGTCTGATCTTCAATTGTCATCTTCGCAAAGAATCCCGAGATAGCCTTATCTGTTTCTCAGGTTCTACTATACGATAGCAACCATGTCATCGAGGAGGGACCCACTCTTTCATACTAAAAGCTCTTTGCCGTCGGCTAAGTTCATCCAGCGGCGGAAGAGGAGAAAAAACGTGGTGAAAAGTGCCGCGGAAACCGAAGACTGCGATATCGGGGTTCTCGAACATTCATGGGAACAGATCCACTGACGGACCATCTATGCTCAATTGCGCATTATTATCACTTTTTACTTCAGTCTGCATCGTTCTTGCGCATCTGACAGCTTCTTACCGTCTTGCATATCTGGTCGTCGCAAAGATACCATAAATTATCTCGCATTCCTTCTAGCGCAATCACGATTTAGATATTTTCCGCCACCATGTCTGTTCTCACTACTTTGGCACCCGTTCCACCGGATGAGATCTTCGCCTTGAATCGCGCATATGCCACGGATCCTTTCCCGCAAAAAGTCAGCCTGGGAGTCGGCGTCTACCGTACCGACGACGGCAAGCCATGGCCCCTTCCATGCGTGCGCGAAGCCGAGAAGCAATTGCTCGCCGAAGACAGCCTTTCCAGACACGAGTACACCGCCATTGAAGGCGACATTCCCTTCCTTGAGCTGGCTCGGGACGTAATGTTTGGGTTCGATGGCAAGAACGCAGCGGAGAAGCACAAGAGTCGCATTGGCTCTGTTCAGACAGTCGCAGGCACTGGCGCAAACCACCTCGGAGCTCTGTTTCTGGCAACTCACATGAAGCCCAAGAACGTCTGGCTCTCCAACCCGTCCTGGGCCAACCACATGACCATCTGGGAACTCGCAGGCGTCCCCCGCAAGACCTACCCTTACTACAACCCCGCGACCCGCTCCTTCGACTTCGACGGCATGATGGCGACCCTGGAGGCCGAAGCGCAGCAAGGCGACGTCATCCTCCTCCACGCCTGCGCACACAACCCCACCGGCCTTGACCCCAACAAGGAGCAATGGAAGGCCATTGCCGACCTCTGCGAGCGCAAGAAGATCTTCCCCTTCTTCGACTCGGCCTACCAGGGTTTCGCATCGGGGTCCCTCGAGGAGGACGCCTGGGCGGTGCGGTACTTCCTCAACGAGAAGCCCAGCATGGAGATGTGCGTTGCGCAGAGCTTTTCCAAGAATTTCGGGCTCTACGGACAGCGCGTAGGCGCATTCCACTACGTCTTGCCCCAAGGCAGCGACAGTCTCCGCGACATCGTCGTCGTTAATCTGTGCCATTTGATCCGGGGCGAGTACTCCATGGGTCCTACGGCGGGCTGCAACATCGTGAAGAAGGTCCTGACGAACGAGGAGCTTACGGCACAGTGGCACGAGGACCTCAAAGTAATGAGCTCGCGGATCCGCTCAATGAGAAAGGCTCTCTATGACGAGCTCCTGCGGCTGCATACCCCGGGGTCCTGGAGACACATTGTCGAACAGGTATTGCCACCCTCCCCCTTACCTTCAACAAACCCACGGCCAGCCGCTTACGCACGAGGCTAACCGCTCATCTAGAATGGAATGTTCTCCTACACCGGCCTCACCCCCGCGCAGGTTCATTCCCTCAAAGACAAGTACCACATCTACCTGCTCAAGTCCGGCAGAGCTTCCATCAGCGGCTGTAAGCAAGCCTATTTCTTCTCTACATCGCCAGTTGAATTCGAACTAACCTCTTTGCTATTCAGTGAGCCAAAAGAACGTCGCCTACGTCGCCCAGGCTATCGACGACGTCGTGCGCAACGTCTAGACTTGCATATCCGCATCTGGAAAAGCCGCTACACCATACATTCAATTGCGTTAATTGCGCTTAAAGGCCTAGATTAAAATATAGACGGAGCGATGCTTTCGAGGTCCCGGTGACTAGAGCTACACTACATTTTGCCTTTCATGGCCTTTGCCCTTTTACATACACTTAGAATCATGGAGCATGTATGATACGATATGAATAGAGTTAACGAGATTTACGAGGACTTGCTTAGCGGATCTTGGGCTTCCTTATAGCAGATGTAGAAGTGAGTCATACGGCATTAAGATTGCTATATACTGTACAACGAAGCAAGAATGAATCAGATAATGGAAGAGCATACATCAAGGAAAATTAAAGAGGAATGCAGAATCAAGTGCCGTCGACTTGCGCTGTTGGCTACAATGGTATAGTAATGCACGGGACAAGTATGCAGACGCAGACACTGTTCAGCACGAAGCATCAGGGATGCAGAACGCACCCATCACAGAGAAATCTCGCTAAAGTCGCCCTCGCCTTCCTTGCCCTTACCCTTGGCGTCACTGTCGTTTGTCGTTGGTTCTTCCTGTTCCCGCTCTTCTTCTGCCTGTTCGTGTGCGATTTCATCTTCATCCTTTTCGTCGTCCTCGTGACTCTGTTCCTCCTTTTCTGTAGGAGAGGCAATTTCCGCCGGGCTTGTCGACTCGCGTTTGCCGTTCACTGTTGGTTTAGTCCCTGCAGCATCATCCTTCGGAGGAGGGGGAGGCGGCGAGTCCTCTTCATCTGACGAGACCTCTCTCTCATCCGATCGAGGCTGGCCACTCATATCCGCGCCGGGGAAGGGAGTCACAGGCGGCTCCCCGACGCTCAATTCCCTCTGGTGCACAGGTTGAGGCTGCAGGCTCAGTCTACTCTGAGACTGGGACTGGGGCTGAGACTGAGACTGAGATTGAGACTGAGACTGAGACGGCGCATTTGTGGCCATTGACACGGAGGATCTGGTATGTTGATGTGTTGAGGCGTGAATGGGGCCGAGCTGTCTGGCCTTGGGGTCTGCGTTCAGGTAGTAGCCCCGGACCCCGACAATGGTGCCCTCTGCCTCACAAGCATCCACCCACTCCGGAACCACGACGGGAATGTTCATTTCCACCGCTTTCTCCCACAGCGGGCCTCTGCCTTCTGTACATACAAAGTGTGTGGTGTCGATGCGCACTGTGTCGATCAGCTTGCCGCCGATACGTTCCAATGCCGCGGCGAGCGCCTCCTTCTGCTGTTCTGGGAGGATGCCAGGTGTAACCGTGATACCGGATAGATCGGTCATCTTGTGCGTCCGACAAGTCAGCTTCTCCGATTGGTATGTCCCGGCCGTTGTGCGCAGGACGAGGTGGAAGGAATATTCCGTGTCGATCGCCAGACCGCTGATCTTGGTGCTTCGCGTCTCGAGTGGCCTGGGTATCGAGCCAGCTTTCGAGCCATTACGGTAGAGAGAAAGCGACTTGAGCGACGCGGTGGCCAGGTTGATTGGATCCCATTCTAGGACTAGGGACGTTTGTGTTGCGTTACGGAGCCGGAGGACAGGCGGGGCGGGGGTCTTGACGCCGTAGGTGTTGAGGATCCGCTTCTGTAGCGCCTGGAAGGCTGAAGTGCTCGCAGCTTCGGCGGCGTGGTTGCGCGATACTGTGATATCGACAATGCTGCCGGATGTGATGTTGTTCGGGAGAAGGACGGAGGGGAATTCGATCTGTAGATTGCCCGGATTAGCAGCTGTGGATTTTCCAACAGCCTCTGACAGTGAGGCAATAAATCCTGCGACTCAATAGCAGGACTTCGAGATTGCGGAAGAGGTGCATGTTCTAGTCGGGTGACAATCATTATGCTGGGAGAGGGGGAGCTTACCAGTCGGTTGTCCTGCGTCAAGAGTACAGCAACTCCTGCGTCTACCTTGCCTACTGTCAAGGAGACCAACATATTGAGAACTAGGACGGGAAACCAGGAGCTATCAGGGATGGCGCAATTGATTTTCGTGCAGCAGCCGATAGATTCAAGCGGAAGAAGGGGAAATGAAGTGGATGCCTGTCCGTTGTTGACTTGGTTATTGAGATGATGATCGAGCCCCATGAATTTAGTTTGTCAACACGCCAAGAAGGCACGGCCTGCGCGGCCCCGACTGGGGTCGGGAATGCTACTTTTAAGAACTGAACAAGATCGATTACGGCTTAATGTTGAGGATTATTGTGTCGCATGCTTCGCATCTCCCCCAGTTTTACGTCGTTTTAAACGCCATATCGCTGCTGCCAAAGTCCTAGTAATGCCAGTGTATGTATATAAAGGTCTCATTACGCTATCAGCCTGAGAGCGCATAGAGTCGCTTCACGTCCAACATCGACTTGCGATTCTTCATTTATGTAGATGAAGATTAACTAGTATTTGTGGGTATCCTTTTATGATCTTGTTCCCGCTTGTGAGAAGAATTTGCCTGCTTCTCGCCGTCTCTCAAATGCCTCAGCAACGTTCTTAGGAGGTAATCCATCTCCTTCCGAACAGTGTCGTATCCCACCTTCACACTCTGTGGTAGGACAGCAATCTCGAGGCTACCTTGGAGACCTTCCTTCGGTGATCTCATGGCCCCGGGTCCCGAGGTCTCTGACACCAACCTTCTGCCTTCGACGTCGAACCCTTGTGCTGCCAGGGCCTGTCGGAACGCCAAGCGGACACGCCTCGTAGCCCATGAGCGAACCACACGCTTGAACGACTGCAGCGGTTGTGGATTCACCCTCCACCACAGTGTACTAGGATCCCGGTTGGCGTACAGATGTTGGATCTTGGGCCGGATGGGATGTGTCTCAGAGAGGATATATCGATTGGCAACCGGTGGTATGACTGTCTTGGGGTTATAGCGCATGTAGAACTGACTTGTGCCTTTGATAAGCTTCCTTTGTGCAGGCTGTCCGATCATGATGAGAAGGTATAGGTCCGGTTCTGGGCTTTGCCTCGATCATCAGGACAAAGGCTGTTGGCACAGCAATGTAGCCTTGAGGTCCAGTCACATAAGAAAGCAAGTCCAATGAAGTGAGGTCACTGGTATGAGTAAAACGCACTATCTGAGCCGTCAACGAGTCAAAATACTCGTGGAAACAATTCGACCCAGCATCAATAGCGTCGGTTCCTTGATTACTGTTCTTCCATTGTTTCCGTCGCTCTTTTTCTGCCACAAAAAGGTCCAATGCAAAAGGCGGTGTACAGCAAGCAAGTACCTTGTGGCGAGCCTTAGGCAGAATTCAGGCCGCCACGCCACCCAGTGACTGCCCACTATATATTTGAACTGCGTCGAATTTGATCCCAGCGCTTCTCTCCGCCAACTCGACACACCCCACTTTCACCTCGCTTGGTCCCTAGAAACTTCTGTTTCTACCAACTTACTTGTCATCGTATCAAGAGGAAAAGTCAGCGCGGATAGCGAGTCGTCACCATGCCCAAGAACAAGGGAAAGGTAAGTTGTCGCTGTTACTCTTGATTCCCTCCAAAAAGAACCCCGCTTGCGAAAGTTTTTCACTGTCATTTCGCCGTATCAGCCCGTTTGGCTGCGCTGCGCGAAACGCGGTCGCCACTGTATACGAAATGACTGAGAAGCCTTTGAATTTGATTTGCCACGAATTCCTTGATATATTTCCAATCAGATGCTAACTTTCGTCTACAGGGTGGTAAGAACAGGCGTCGTGGAAAGAACGAGAACGACAACGAGAAGCGTGAGCTCGTCTTCAAGGAAGAAGGCCAGGAGTATGCGCAGGTCGTGAAGATGCTCGGCAACGGCCGACTGGAGGCCATGTGCTTCGACGGCGAAAAGCGACTGGCACACATCCGAGGCAAGCTGAGGAAGAAGGTCTGGATCAACCAGGGTGACATCATCCTTCTCTCGCTGCGTGACTACCAGGACGAAAAGGGCGACGTTATCATGAAGTACACCGCCGACGAGGCCAGAAGTCTCAAGGCCTACGGCGAGTTGCCCGAGCACGCCAAGATCAACGAAACCGATACCTATGGCCACGAAGGCTTTGAGGACAACGTCGAGTTCGACGAGGACCGCGAGACTGAAGACGAGAAGGAGATCGATGTCGACGAGCTCTAAATACCCTTCATCCCTGTGCAGTCAACCCTGCGAGCCCACCGGGGCCCCCTTTGCCGCCAACTCTGTCCTCCCGAACCCCGGGAGGTTCTGTCGATTCTTCTTTCCCTTTGCGACTAGTGGTTTTTGCTCGGAAGGAAGTTCGACGCCTGGGCTCTTTCTATTCTTGTGTCACCTGTCTCCCGAAAAGGTGACACCGAGGAGGATCAGAGTTGCGGTGCTCCCCGCTTCGCGTTCGAGACCGCTTCAAGCGCCACCCGGTGCCGTCCTATCTGTCAGGGTTGATAGGGGAATTTCCGAGATCGTGCATGCTGCTGAGCTTGTTCGGCTCTGCCGTAACTCAGTCTCCATCGTGAATCGCGATTTCGGGTAATTCTGCAGAGAAATAGTTGCCTACGCATGTGATGAAACTGGCTGCAAGCTGCATGTTTCGTGTTAAGCAATTCGTTTGTCTGTTATTCCGTTCTTTTTTTCCTGTTGAAAATTGACGATAGACTCATGAGAGGTTTACGAGAATTAAAAATATTTCCAAGACTTCTTCCCGATTGTACATGTAGCTGGCAACCGCCCTCATTATTTATATGAACTGTACCCTTATACTTCCGAGTAGAGACAATCTCAACTATTATCGAACAAATTCTTACGGAAGAAGCCAGCGATCTTCCGGGCGGCCTCCCTTCCAATAAGAGGATCAAGCTGCTCAACATCCATATTCGCAATCTCGCTGATATTTCCCGTCTCGAGGACAAGTCGCTCGAGCACCTTTGGCGTCACGCCTGGAACAGCACGCAGCATGTCCTGAGGAAGAGCATTAAAGGTACGATGCTCAATACCCGCTGCCGCCATGACATCGCCTGCATGTGATGATGCGACAATATCCATATCCAGGCCAATCTGCACGGCCCGAAGAGGGTCCGGTTCTGGGTTATTCTTCTTCAGCTCAGCGAAGATTTCGGCAGTTTGATAGGGTGAAGAAGACCATACGATCTTCAGGCGCGGGAAGGTCAGAGTGAGGAGCACGAGGAGATGCTGGGCGGATTTGGGACTGGATGGGTGCATGAGAGAGCTGCTGACGGATAGGGAAGTGGTTCCTGTTCCGGATGACGAGAAGCCATAGTCGGTAAGGAATGATGTGCCAGGTGTCGACGCGGAGGCGAACGCATCGAATGTGAAGGATTTATGCTGGTCGAATTCGATGAGCAGCAGAGGATTCTTGTAATGCTGGAGCATTGTCTCAGCCTGGTTGTAGAGGCGTCCATTTCTCAGCGAAGCGATGAGGTCACGGACTGATTTACGCTCCACACAGATATCGGGGGTCAGGATATAATCGCCGACTGTTAACTGGCACGGGACGATGATCATGTTGTTTCCGTGCAACAAAGATGGAAGAGCGCTTCTGAATTCTCGAACGTCCACGACTACTCGAGGAGGTGACGCTGTTGCGGCTAATCGACCCCCTCCGGCGATACGAGTGTTCACTGTGCGAAGGAATTGTTCCTGGGGATCTTCTTGACTCTTGTCATGGGTGAGGGTGAGAGCCATGCTCTGGGTGATGCATCAATTAGTACACGGGACGAATGAGACACGGGGGAAGCCGCTTACCCCTTTCTCTTTTATAAGTTTAGTAAACGAGTCCTTCTCTCGTCGAACTGCACTCAGGTAACGCTGTTCTTCCACGGAGCCCCCATAGTAGACGAAGTATACCCTTACATTCCTTGCAACATGCGAGCTGCGATAAACCTCCACCCGCCGAATGAACGCTGGGTCGGGTTCGTACATAATAATGTATCGCGGTCGCACTTCTTCCAGTATATGCTCGTCCATATCGCCATCGTATGGATGGACTATGACCAGATCGTCCATGTCATACAGCTCGAAGAAGTCTTCCATGTCTTCCAGGTCATCACTGATGATCTCGCCTTTCTGTGTCTCTTCAATATCAGTTGGTTGTAATTCTTCCAGTAAGCTGGAAACTTGACCCGGCAATTCGGTGTCAGTCTGCACGCTAGCATTCGGTACACGTGCTGCAGCCGATGTTACTACTCCTCCACCGCGGACACGACGTCGCTTGTTCGGAGGAGCTCTGCCCTGCTGACTCGTTGGTTTCGGCGACTCCTGACCCTTTGCAGTCTGGGTGTCGTCGCTTGATTTGGCAGACAGATTCTTGTTAACATTCGCCAACGAAGTCTTCCAATCAAGATATTCGCGTAATCTCCTCCGCAACATTACTTCCGCAGAAAATTTCTTTCCACTCGTAGTATTAAGGTCTTCCGGATCATCTGGCTTATCTTTACCGATTCCGGCATGCATTGTTCCGAGATACTCCCTGATCTGCCGGCAGGTTCGTTGGTCGGTACACATGATGAGGACAGTACTATTCGACTCATCGGTGCTGACAGGATTTAAATAAGCATCTTGTTCAATCTCCTCTAGCACTTCTGCTAGAACGGCCCATTTGGGCTGTTCCTCCAGAACAGGTCGAAGGGTAGAAGGCAGAGAATCCAGAGTATTGCCCGCATCACGGGTGATCTTTCCCTCGTACACCCTTGACTTAGCGGTCTGGAAGAGTACATGAGCAGCATCGAGAAAGAGCCAAGGTGAATAATTATGTCTTGTCGAACCAGGAGGTGGAGAATGCGCGGTAACAATAGTATCCAGATATTTCACGAAGGAGACCGCATCATAGGTAAGTAAAGCGCTGTACTAAGAGTGAGTTCCTATGCGGACAGAAGACTGTACATGTTTGGGGCAATTAGACGTACTGAAGAATCGCGCGAAGATCAGACAGGTCGCTGACAATCTGTCTGGTCCTAAAAGTCACTCGATGCCAGATGGGATCGAGCTG